GCTTGAATTAGTGGACTGTACCCATAAGGTGCTCAGAATCACGTGTGTGTTAAAATAGCTCCAGCCTCAGGCATAACTTGAAACTTGGAAAAACCCCGACCTCCTCCGCAGCAGGGCTTTTGGGAGACCTCTAATGTGTAAAGGTTTTTGTACTATGTACATGTACATACCATATTGGAAATTCAATTGCACACAAAAATCGAGCTCGATGAAAGAGGTGCACATGCCATCGTCGTTTTCTAAGCTCCTTTCCAAGATATTAAAAGACGTAAAAAGGAATAAACCCATTGCGAATAGTAAACACAAAACGGACGTGTTTTTACCTGAGTAGGCAATATTCTGTACATGCAGGCTTATATTTTTTCTTACTTTGTACTCGAAACCTGATCCAGTTATAGCCACTGAGCTGTAGATACAAAGGCTGAGAAAAGGGTGGGAAAAATGCGTTTAAGATAACCGACGCCTTAGACATGGTCAGCAGTATATGTGGCTAGAAGAATAGCTAATTTGACTGTTAATTAATGAAACACGATGATCGTATAACGTGTGGCAAATAACGTTATTTGACAAGTAGGCTATCGTAATATTCAACCTCATGCGACCCACACTAAGGTATATCAGAGATACAGAGGCAAAGCACTGTGCAGTTGTACATGTACATGTACATGTACACGCACCGTACACCCGCGGTGTACTTGCGGTGTAGGGTCATGGGACCTTGTTGGCTTATTGTTCCGCTGACCTGTTGACGCAAACGACATACCGGGGATTCCCAACTATTCGTGGGCAGTTTGGCAATCCAGTAGGTCTACGGAAATCCCAGGCACGTGCAATGCCTTTCAAGGTCATCGGGGAACGAGTTTTGCAACCCCCGTCATGTGATGCTATCCTGCGTTCACCGTATCAAAAAAGAGATATACTCGGCCCTTTTTTCAAAGTTGCTCAGTTCGAATTGATACGCACACTGTGTATGCAGATTGTACAAAGGAACGAAAGGATATGCTGCTAGCGTGCCGCTCCGTGACTCAGCATAGCTGCATGCTTATCTTTCAAGTGTACATGTACATGTTATATATAGTCTGTATAGAACGTGGTGTGGGAAATTTTGCAATTCTCGGAATGCATTACTGAACGCAATGACCTGATTGGCGTTAGGTAGCTTTCAATGACTATTTATCGCATGACACAGTATAGCCCCCCCCCCTCCAAAAAGTGACAAACAACCACTGAAGTCAATTGAGTTTCCAAACTGGAGCTCGTTATCGTCCCCGCCATTTGTCATGCGCATTGCTTTCCTGGTATAATCAACTTTCTGAGTACACCATCACCCTTTGACTTGTATCGGACTCGAATCTCTCTACTTCCTTGTTTGTCAACCATGCCCTCACAAAAGTTGGAATTTCCCGGCAGTTCTAAGTTTAGACTCGGCTTTCCAGGACTTGGGCGATTTTTATCTTTTTTTTTTCGAATAGCAAACAACGAAGGCGACAGGTTTGACTGGGGAATTTCGAACCCCCTGGATATATGACTGAAATAACTCATAAAAGAGATGATTACAGACTCGTTTTTAATCTTGTGAACTAACGTAAAAGCATTACCTGATGCCGACGATGGCGGCATCTTTTCCATAAATGCTTTTAGAATTAATTGCCTCTCTCCCTATGGAGACCCTGTCTGTTCTGTCCGTTAAAGATACCGCAAATCTCATTGATGTGAAATCCAAATTTGACCGCCGTGGCTGACCATTTTGTTTGTAAAGTCAAGAAATTTGAACAGCAATTTCACAGTGGTTTCCTCGAAATGCGATCACGGACCTTGGAAATTCCAAAAGCCACAAGCCAAAGCCAACAACTACAGTCATTTGCAGAAGTTTAAGACCACCTTGAATTTATTAGTATTTCTGTCACTGGGCTTGCATTACATTGTCTCACTGAATGATTACTTAACATGATTTTACAGTGGTGCAAAACATCAGTGTAGTGCTATATACCCATTTGAATGAAATTATTTGCAAAGGCAGGTCTTGTATGACATTTTGTCTGCAAGGCAGCATGGGTAAGAAAGCCAGTCTAAGCAGTCAGAAATAAGGGAGGGCACATTGAATATTAGACTGTTAACATGTCAAATCATGGAAATGTAGTCACAAATGTTCAACCACGGTACCAAGGTTACACATTGAAAATAAACATATGTTGCCATGATTGATTGGGTTAAGTTTGGTTCTCCTTCAGAATAATGCATTTTCTATGGGTGGTCCTAAACTTTTGCAAATGACTGTATAATTCTGATTCTGGACTTTTCAAAGGACTACAGTCTTCAACTGTTACGAAAGCAACCGTGGCAGGAATAAGGACCATTATTTCTACGTATTACTCAACCCTGACCGTATGTGGCTTTTTAACACATCTAGCTGATTTATACGCGGGACATTTAACTTACAAATCGTCAGATCATGATGACCAACTCATTTGAATCGTACCAATATATTTTGTGTGAGGGAGAAAACGCTTGATCATCTTAGCATGAAAACGGCAATTGTCAGTCATAATGACTGTGAATCGTACAGCTCCATCAGTTGTCTATAAAATAAGCCTTTACAGTTTTATTCTGAAAATGCAATCCTCAATGCACCGAACCAAAAAGGAATGTCACGCAGTTCCATACACTGCACGCAGTTGCATAGAAGTGTCTGAGAAAAGAAAACAAACACGCATCGACCCTTGAAAAGATTTGAAGTTCGGGGCGTAATAACTACCTCAAACTTCAATTGAAAATGCCCGTAAACAGCAAGGACACGATACAAGGAAACAATCAACCGACCATTTAAATTTACCTCATTTAAAGTCAGGTTGGTTCAAAAATGCATGAGTTACCCTTGCCACGATTAGACCGATCTATCCATACAGATGTTCTTGTTGGTAACGATCGGTCTAGGTCGGATTCGCTGCGTTTTGAGAAAACCGGAAGACTGAAACAGAAATTATCAAGAACCATATGCCCCTGCTGGAGACAGAAACAATTGGAACCTAGCCGAATGGTAGAAACCCGAACTGCAGTGCACAATGACCCGGAATAATGCTGATTTATAATGATTTCATACGAACAAAGACCCAACAGCCAATGAAACCAAAATTGAAATTTGTTCCCCAATAACTTACAATTTTTACTCATGATTATTCATGATCTCTCCCTGAACTACTAGTCTGAAAAACCATCCCACGGCTGCAGCCACGAAACATTTCCTGGTTTACTCAAGAATTTCTATTCTTCTTAATTAAAATCGTGAACAATGAGAGCCTAGCTAAGCAATGCAAGTTGTTTTCACGCTGCAGCTGAACGCCATTTACAGTACTTCAAATGTTTCCATGTGTTGTATTTCCTTGTTGACTTATGAAAACGATACTCATAACCGAGTCATGGAAGCGTGAACTTTGCACTATATTGGTGCAAAATCCTTATACTGTATATTCAGAGCGAGTGGCTAAAGTTACAGCTCAGCGAATCGCCCGCCAGTACCTAGGAATAAATTGAAGCTTGATACAAAGCATCAAATGTTCTTATCGGTATGAAACACAACCCATGAACATATGACAGATTACCAAGCTGTAAGAGTTTCGCAAGCACATAAAACAAAGTGCAGAGCATTACCTCAATAGAGTTTGTTTCATTGGTTAGGTGGACAATTCTGTCAAATCCTAATTGAAATTTGCTAAATAATCAGTTTTGCAAGACATGTTGTTCAATAGGCCCTATGTGTTTTCAAAAATCTATGTACAAAAAAGGCAAAACATAAAATCTGAATATGATCTTAAAAGAGCACTGATGCCGATCTTATTTTACTGCTTTGGGGACAGAGGGTTAATAATTTGTGCACAACATGCAGTTTACACAACGTCTTTTGAAAACATTTGGCTATATTTTATTACTGATCATAAAAACTGCTTGCCTACGACTTAGCGTGACGAGTTCCAGGTCTTTCTCTT